CAAGGCTGTTTTTGTGGGCCCATCCAGATCCTCCAGAACCCCCAAAAAAGTGATCCAGCAGTTGACTTCCAGGTCTCTTCCTGTTGTAAAAAAAGGAAGAGGGGAGGCTTTTAAAATCTGGTAAAATACAGAGAGAGAGATGGCATTTGGTGGCCAATTGGTTTTTTGTTGTTTTTTTTAAAAAATTGCAAGGGGATGTGTTAAGATGTTATAGTATTGATGAGAAATAGACTCTTTTAGGGAGGTCACGGGTATGAATTTACAGGACTTAAGTGGAGGACAGGGAGTCTTGGAGATGTCTCATCTACAGGTCCACTATGATTCAAGGGCAGTTTATAACAATAACAACAACAGCAGTAAGGGAGAAGGCTCCTATGGGGGCTGTGGTCCTCTAACCTCCAGCTGGGACTCAACCCTGTCTTTTAGTTACTTTCTATGGGATAACAATATTAACAGTTACCCTGTTTGCTATAGGAGTCTGGTTCTTTGTGTATCTCTGAAAGAAACAAACAAACAGATATTACAAAGACACCAGATATCTCTAGGGTTGGCTCATCTAAAGGACGCCAAAACCAATACACTATCTCTGTATGCTCTAATATTCAGGATATAATAATAATATAATAATAATATTTATTTGTATACCGCCCTAGTGGAAAACCAACTGGCAGCCTGTGATCCAAGGCCAGGGAAGAAGATTCATCCCAGACCATGGGTCACACATAACTTAATTTTATTGCGGAGAACTATTAATAAGACACTGACTCTGTTGATTGTAAGATCGGCAGGTTGGCAGTTCGAGGCCCGGTGCTGCATGATGGGGTGAGCTCCTGTCACTAGTCCCAGCTTCTGCAAACTTACCAGTTTGAAAGCATGCAAATGCAAGTAGATAAATAGGTACCACTTCTCAGTGGGAAGGTAAATAGCGTTCTGTGCTATCATGCTGGCTACATTATTACAAAGTAGTCTCTGACAATGCTGGCTCTTCAGCTTAGTAATGGAGATGAGTACCACCCCCTATAGTCAGACACGACTTGACAACCTTGTCAACGGGGAATACCTTTACCTTTACCTTTACCTATTAATAAGATATTCAACATCATAAGCACTGGATACTAAATTACTTGGTTATAGCCATCAGAAGGGGAGGAGGGAGGGAGATTGAAAAATATGTGCTGTAATAGGGGTAATATTTAATAAGGATTTATTATATGTGTGTATGGTATTATGGACCATAAATTACTAAATAAAGTAATTAAAATAATTGTGGAGGGGGGGACACACTGCCAAACTGTGTTAAATGGAAATGTTAAAATGTTGTATTATTGTATAAGACCTCAATAGGAAACGTCAGAACTAATGAAACTTGACAATTTGGCTCAGTCCTCATGTGAAGCAAACCAACCTGATATGTATTTCCCAGACATACATGTGAACCAGAGTGCACTTTTTCTTCTAATGTTTATACCTCTTCACATTGTTGCACCCCAATTCTTGGGTCAAACTGTACCAAGAGGTGTATTAAGATGCACATTCAATTTAAAACATATACTGAAGTTAAGGTAAATCATGCAAATACATATCTTGGGGTAAAATATACATATAAAATGCCCATTTTGTGTGGAGAAACTAAGAAGGAATATTAATGTTTCTATTTAGTCTTCTATTAAATACTTTAATAACTGCTGAAGGAAACTGAGTTACACAATTTGTGGGGAATAAGCGTTTGAATAATTCTGAATCATATCAGAACTGAGACTAAAGCTGAAGTTTGCCAGGAAAGTCAGACTAACTCTGCATCGTAGGATATCGGAGGCTAATGAAAACTGTATCCATAACTTAGCAACACAAAGATATATCATGAAGAAACAAAAGACTTGAGGAATAAGTTTGTTTTAGAGCTTTCCCATTTAGAAGAGAGGCATATGGAGGAGGAGATGATTAAGTACAACATGCTAGTCTAGAAAGGTATAAAATTTCGTCCTTATACACATTCCTGTCTGTTATTGGCAATTCAAGTGTGTGGAGAGGAAGAGTACTTCCACATTTCCCATACTGAGGCTTGGCTTGCTTTGTGCTGGAAATGCTGGCCTGAGATATTTCACCAAGATAAGGTACCGTACTCAGAGATCTTGGAACAAGTTTCACTGAGATAATATTCATAGAACCTTTAAACACATACAAAATACTAAGTAATAGTATCAGTAGTCCCAACCAGTAGTTGTAAAAGGATTGTAGTTGCAGACTTTACTAGAACTTTCTAGTACTTTCTAGAATGACTAGGGGAAAAAGGAAAAAGAGGGGAAAAACAACAACTTCCAATCTTCCTTTTGGTGATTATATATGCATATAGTTATTCATGACTCACTGTCTAATATTATGATAAATTCCTTTCTTTCAATTTCTACTCCTAGATTCCCCCAGCCAGCTGTAATAAAAACAAAAATAATTTAGCATCGGTCCTTTGGAGGTTGTATGCCTCTTGCACAATGTTCAAAACTTAAATACCCTAAAGGCACTAGATCCTGTCTGATCTTGGTAGCTAAGCAGGGTCAGCTCTGGTTAGTACTTGGATAGGAGCTCACCAACAACTACCAAGTGCTGCGAGCCATATTATAGAGAAAGGAACTGGCAAAACATCCCCTGAGTATTCCTTGCCTAAGACAGGTGATGTGAAGGCACATAAACACACACAAAGTAGGAGTGAGTGGAGATAAGACAGCATGCTAGTTCTGCCCTCTGTGTTATATCTGGGTCCATTCCCATGACATTCCAAGAACTACAAAAGAGAATTTCTGAAGTAGAAAGTTTCATGAAGGATTCTCACATGATCCATCATCCTGATCTCCCAAGGTTTTAAAATATATCAAGAACCTCCACAATGTAGAGGTAGGGCCAGCACTACCACTAAACAGATGAAGACAACAGTTTAGGTGGCAGATAGTGTAAGGTGGCAGCAACAGAAGTCCACTTGTTCCTTCTGAATCTCTCAATCACTCCATTCCATTTCAGACATGGTGAAAGATACTATCCTTTTTTAATGTTGTCAGTGGCATCACAGGGTTGGTGTCACCCCAGTGCGGTAACTCATGCTGTCACCCCCTTACTGTCTGGCACACACCCCAGCCACTCCTTTCCACCAGTGAGGTGGCTTCTGGCACTGGTGGGGATGGGTTCCCCATGCTGCCCACTGGGTCCTTCTGCCATATTGGAACATTGGAGGGTATAAGGCAAATCATTGATGTGCCTACCATTGGTGTCACTTGGTGCGG